TTAGCTTTAGTTTTACTTTCTAATCTCTTAAGATATAAAGATTAATCAATGTTTTCTTTTTCGTTTTCAAAAAGCAAAATGCATCTCAACAGTAAGTACACAAACCCAAATAGTATATTACATGACGATTTGGTATTTATATTTTATTGGTTGATATTAGCCTGTTCAATTTATGAAGCAATTTTAAAACTTTCAAACAACCATTTTATAAATTGAACTGACCACAACGTGGACTTAAACCTATAAACCTTGAATAAATGCAATTATGTTTTTAACTGTGTAACGCGATTAGGTTTCCCTCTTTTTGTTCAGCTCCAACTGGCTGGCTTAAAGTTTTTAATTAACTTAAATCAATGACAGTTTACATTGCCGATAGAAACGTTTGCGAAATGGCCAGCTAGGGACTTCAGCTGGGATTGACTATTGTTGGATTGAGACAATGACAAAGTAACTAGCATCGAATCGATTGCAATGGAAAGCCGCAGATATAGCCGGGCGATTAAGTATCCCAGGCCCAAGGCGGATGGTCGGTCAACCAGATGGTTGGACGGACAATTGCCGCAAATCACAGTGGGGACAGCCATTCGAAATATGTGTGTACTGGTGGCTGGGTTTCCGCTGAAAGTGCAGGCAATTTAAGCCAAAGAGGCGGAGATCTAATGCTGGAATGAAGTGTTGCCGGGTGAAGAATTGCTGGCTTGATTTTAATTGCAACTGACCACCGACCAGAAGCAATGAACTTGCCACCATTCGGCCGTAATTCGAGCCACAAACAGAAAGCCCATGTAATACAAGAAGGTTGTGGGAAATTCCACCGGACCAGCGAAGAACACCACTCGTCGAGGGTGGTGTACGATTGTGATAGTGATGTGTGTGAAAGTCCAAGGCGGCGAGTGGATTAAGTTTGAGTTACCATAAAATATGCAGAGACAACGCATGCGCAACACGTAACCCGATGCAGATACATTTTGGTGGACCTGCAGATACAACTAAAGATACTGTCCAGTTTGGCCCTGTTCAGGGTGGCCCGTTCACCTTGGAGCGGTGCTTAAAAAAGTCGTTTAACATCGAGTTTTTGGGGGCTAAAAGCGTCAAAGAGTCCGCGGTCTATATATCAACCTCCCATATGAAGGGGTTTGCTCTATATGATAAATCCATTGGCCTTTGGCCAATTTCATGCTCGCTGAGGCGTCGTTTCGACAACCTGCTGCTTTGTACACTGCTCTTATTCCACTAATTGAGTTATGTTGCACATTTCGGCAAGTCAGCTAGTCGGCTTCATGGTTCTGCTACTGCTGCGGATATTTGCCAATTGAGTTATTGCCTTTTGGCTGTGCATTAGCGTGCGCTCACCTGAGATTTCGCAATGGAAAGTTTGGCCAACTCTTTAGACCAAGTTCTGTGTGCGAGAGCATCAGCCAAAAGCTAAAACGGGTTGGCCTGGCAAACACGGTTAACGGTTTTCGTAGTGCTGTGAATCGTTTTGTCACGCCTTCGATTCGAGCCAAAAGAAATCCCTACTCAAATGTTTGCTTAAGTTTCTGGCACCCAGTTGCAGGTGCAGTCTGCAAATTTCTAGACGCAAAGTACATACTATTTTAGCTCATCACCTGCTTTAGCTAGTTTCAGTGATTTGTTACCCTTTTAGTTTTCCATTTATTTAACAGATAGGAAGCTGGGGGAGCTAGTTTAAGGCCACTTACTCAATACCAATTGGCAGGTGCTTTGCCAAACCCCCAAGCAATGGAGATGTGAGTGGGTTGATACGGTGAAAAATGCTATTAGACCTTAAACTAAAACGTAGAAAAGTGCAGAAAACGTTTCTGCGGGACCTTGGAGAGTAAAAGCTTACAAATAATCATTAATCCTTTCCTAAGAAAATCTTGGCAAGCCTCGATTTGAATAAACTTTCAAACTTAAATATCCATTAGTATGTAGATTCAGATTGAATCTATACTTTTAAGACTTCTCGCAACACAATGTTAATGTACTTTAAAACACATAACCCTGATTTAAAAAAACGACATGAAGCTCTAGTTTGGTTTTTAAAAAAATATTGCTTAAACAAAACTTTATTTTGATTGGTAGCTCATTGTAAATTAAAATTAAATTTTTAGTCATTGTTCTCTTTACTTTTTTAAATAAATTCCCCTGGCAATCTATTCTTCAACAAGCTTTAAATATTAAATTTGCTTGCATTTGAAAGGAATTTTAAATATTTATGAAAATGTCAACAGTGCTTGCGGCTCTTTTTATGTGAATTATCTACGGAATTCGTAAAATATTTGTTGTTTAATTGTCAGAAGTTCGTTTTAAAATACTTATTTCGCAACAATTTATAGCCAATGCTTCAAATTAATTTGGCAAACTCCAATTCAGGTTTTTATTATATTTAAAATATGTATCAGTTCTCTTTTCACCCCTTTTAACATTATTTATGCAGACTGCTGTCAGGATGATTAAAAGATTAGTATCAAACTTAAATTTACAGTCACGTAACGTTTATATAATTTTTTTCATTTCCGTGCAGAGATAAATATATTCGAATAATTGAATTGGTAATTTCATAAGGTAATAAACTAACGAAACAAAAGTGAGTCTGCAGTTCTGAAAAGTAATCATAATCAGCCTCGTAGCCCCATTCCCCCATTTAGTGCGATATCAAATACGAGATTTGTGGGATTTTGCTCATTGGCTCTCTCTCTTTCATAGTTTCTTCGTCTCGTTCTTTGCTCATTTCCAATAAGCAATTCTACTTGCTTTATTGGTTTTCCTGACAAACTTGTTCGGAACTCTCGCGGAGCGGACAGGTTGCTTTGAGGGGAGAGAACCCGGAGTCAGCATGTTTTCAAGATCAAAAAGCGAATGGCGGTGGAGCTAAAGAAATTGCACAAAAATTTACACACTCCACAACAATAAAGAACGAGGGAGAGAGAGGGGAAAGAGACATGGAGAGAAAACTGCAAAAGGGAACCTTTCACTGCAGATACACTGGAAAATATATATTATATAATATATATATATAAATAGCCAGGTTAGATAGGGCGATAAAATTACCAATGGATCATGAACGACGTTCTCTACCTCTCTAAAAAAAGCATTTTATTTAAAATTAATTTAAAAACACCCTTTAATAAAACTTCGATGTCATCGAATTATATTTCAATCAAATTAAAAATATTCACGAGACTGAATATGCAACCATTTTGTTTAAATGGAACAAAACAAAAAGAATAAAACCTTAAAATATTTCTGAAATTCAAAAGCCTTGATAATAGCAATTTTGAATGTACTGCAAGATTCTTATGGATTCTAATGGGTTCAATATCAGAAATGAGATAAGATTCTAATGGGTTCAATATCAGAAATGAGATAAGGATAAGGGATTTTGGCATTCCAAAAATATTTTCCCTTTTGGAATTAAAAATACCAATTACACAAATTTCTTTCTCTGTCACTATTGGAGAGGCAAGGTAGAATTAGTGATAAACATAAAGAAAGGCGGCGCAATTGAAAAGTGGCACAGATGCCAGGGCAGCGGCCCCAAAAGGCAACGGTATCCGAGAGCAGGAGCGCAAAAGGGAATCCAGGAGCGGAGTGGGGGCAGTATCAGCAATCATATAAAAAGGGGGCGGGGAAGGAGCAGGAGCGGCGCAAAAAGTGTGTGCGTATCAACAAAGCGGATGGTCGCGGGCTGGGCCCGGGATGATGGGATGCCCAAGGGCGTGGGTGGTGGGTTGGTGGTATTTCACTGGGAACAGTAGCACTCGCTCTGCTTACTTCGTAAATTTTTTTCTTCCCATTTTGAGAAATATATGCGCACTTCCAAAACTAAGGCAAAAACTTACCTGTAAAATATAAGCACGCTGCGTAGCGAGCTGTTTAATAATTTACGGTTCGTCGAAGATTTACGACCCACTGGATAAGTCAAACTGCAATGATTCCGGAATATAAGGATATTTGAGAATTTTTGGCAGGGCGAAAAAAGCACAACACTTTTATTATCAAATATTTTTTTCTTGTGGTGGGTTGGGAGTTATGTGCGGCTGGTAAATATTGTTGATGCTGAGGCATACAGTAAGTAAACGGGGAGTACGCAGCACTGTTTTGATTGAGCGCGCGCAAAAAATTATACACAAAATCACGCACACAGCGAAATCCAGATAGAGACGCACCGATGGCTTGAAACTGGGACCCGAGAAGAGAGCGTAGGGTGTGTTGGATGCTTCCAGGCACCGACCACGATATAACTGCACTCGGCACTAGACTCGAATCGTGGCTTAAATCACTCGGCACTCACTCAGCTGCGAATCTCTGACCGTCTACTTGGAAGCGTGCTTTCGAACTGAAGCCGTTTTGCTTTTGAGCTGCTGCTGCTGCTGCCGTTGATGTTGCTGTTGCTGTTGTTGCTGCTGCTACTGCTGCCACAGCCACCACCAATACATGCGCGGAAAGCAGGTTGCTCTGGCTGAAAGCTCGGCTCGCCAGTAACGCTAAAAAGACCAAAAGTCTATTTGAAAGCTTTTTGTCGATGCCAGATAGTTAAAAATAACTCATATTTGGGTGCTTTTTTTAACCCTCTAGCACCAGAAAGTTGTATTTTTGAAAAAAAATTTTATATTTTTATTTATCAACACTCATTTTCTATTTATTTAAAGTTTGTTTACTATATCGAATTTATTAAATGAAATTTACCTTTTTTTGTATATTTAAAAAAAGCTTATGATAAAGAAACTTTAAGGCTATAGAAATCAAATAGATTTGGGGACTAAATTAATACAAAATTAACAATTTTTAAGACGTTTCATTAGTTTATAATATAAAGGAAATATAGAGTATGGAAAGAGTTAAAAACCGATCTGATTGGAAGAAAATATCTTGTCAACTTCAAAAAGTTTAAAAAAAATTGTAGTTTATGCTAAGGTGAACGAACCAAGCCATGAGCCTTTGCTCAATCAAAGACCTAAAAAACCGCTGCACTTGTTTTCCACTCAAATTCCGAGCCGACTTTGAAAATGCCTATCCCCGAACCCTGTTCCCCAGTCGAGTTGGACAGATAATGAGCTACATGGAGGACTGTTTTGCAGGGGCTCCGCAGGAGTTTCTCATCTGCATCACCGTCCACAAGGCCGTACAAGTTGGAGTGACCTCTGGGGACTTGTACGTGAGGATTAGTCTGGACAAAATGGCTAAGAGTACCAAGACTTTTCCCAACACCGAGAATCCCTTCTTCAATGAGGTGCGTTATGACTGAAATTATATATACCCTTAAGCAATTAAATACCCTTCTTTAGTATTTTGTCTTTGAGTTTCACTGCACCTTAACCGAACTTCTGCGACTGACGATCCTTTTCGAGTTGAAGAAGCACATGACCTACAAGAAAAACGTTTTGGTTGCCGAGTTGTTGGTGGATCTACACAGTGTGTGGAACCAGTCCAATCATGGCTATTTCAAAAAGTGGGGTCGCCTGGAGGCGCCCATTGGAGAAACCCAATCCCTGGAGGCTACCACACAATCTCACGGCTATTTGCAACTCGACCTGGCCATTGTATCCCAGCACAGCACGGTAATCAGTGGACTCAGGTCCGAGGAGCAGGACAGCCAAAACATGAACAAGTGGACGGTGGACCATGATTACGACGACATCGAGAAGTAAGATGGTATATATTATATACATCTGATTTACCTCTTATTTGCAAATACCCCTAGGAATCTTTTAACAAATGCGAACTCGTTCGCTCCAAGCAACATCCGCTACTTTATCGCCTTCTACCGGGGTTTCTTCACCAGGCAGAGCAACTACATGATTCAAGTATCGTTCGCCGGCTTCAATGTATCTGGCGCCCGGCATTGACTTGTGTTTCCGTTTCTAAAGTACAGATTCCATCCTTTCAAGGGCAAAACGCCGGTGGCCAGGAACACGACAACGCCTGTGTGGAACCACGAGATCAACTTCGCCTGGATGTATCCTTCGGTGGCACAGCGATTCCTCATCCTCATTTTTGCCTACGAGCATCTGCAGTGGAAGTGCGTGGCGGAGTTCGAAGTGTCCCTTGAGGAGATCGCCTTCAAGGGTAAGTCATCATAAAAGCCATCATCCTCCGCGAGGATATTATAACTAGCAAGAAAATGGGTTAACAAATTAATCATCGTTAAAAACAAATTTAAATACAGATTTTAAGAGAATCGTACCACAAATCTTAAGAGGTATGCCACTTTGGAATCGGCTTAAATTTGGTTAAGTTATAAACTCCAAAAATCAAACTTTGGGTCACCTTTTTAGAAGTTAGTGTGGAAAATGTGCTTATCACTTTTGACTGACATTATAATACCCTCTGCAAGGTTCAAAAAATGAAATAAAGTTTAATAAGATTTAAAGATAAGTGGTAATGGGGCTAAAAAAGAACTAATCACAAATACCATCTTAAGGTTAATTTCTGTTCTAAGTGGTCTGAAATTTAAATCTATATATAATATATATATTTTTTAGGAAGCCCTTCTCTGGGACCGACCTACCTTCATCTGTATGATCCCGTCAATCCGATGATCTATGTGGGCCGCCTGCTAATTGAACTTCGTTCTGAGATTTTGAAAGAATCGCAACCCACCCACACGTTGGCTTCCAAAACAGTGCCTGGCTTGGATGAAACACGTTTCTGGCACGACGAAGTCTACTTGGTTGAGTTTCTCCCACTAATGGGTCAACACATCCACACAACTGCCACCGCATACAAGATCTCAGCGAGATTAGCGGAGCACAGCTCTAATGTGGTGGAGGGACTGCTAAGGACTCCTTTGGGACGCTCTCAATCCGCCATTCATTCACGGAGCTTCCGCCGTGAGTCTCCCTTTCGCTCCTGCATGTTTCGTGTCCGTTTGCCGGATAATCGAGCCAAGTATGAGAGTGATTTCTTTATGCTGGATATAGCCAACTATATGGTAATGACTTTCATACTACCTATGTTCATTATCTACGCTTATAAGATTTTTCTCTGTATTTTAGCGCTCTGAACTAGAAATCTTTAAGATTTTCCAGTTGAAACATCCTCTCCAGGAAGAAGAGCAGGCCAAGTGCCTAAAGGCGATATTGGGTAATATTCTGAACAGGATCAAGGAGGGTCTAGACGCCCACCGTTTCGATCACGATGTTCAGCCACAACGCACCACCTGGGACTTCAACCGGCAGCTCTACCTCCTCGATTATTTCGCCAAGCTGCCGCAGGAACTGCATCAACTAAAACAGAAACTGCGCAGTTGTTTCCTGGAGCACCTGGATGCCTCCATTGCGGATGTGGTTAATGAGCTGCAGCGACTGGTGGCTGAAATCGGAGGTCTTTCTAGTATGGCGCGCACGCAGGACGAGTGGCCGGAATTGGTCCTCTCCTTGAGTGCAGGTGGAAAAGATTTGGGAGTTTGTCGGCTAAACGCCAAGCTCTTTTTACATTTGCAAAATCCGGATGCCGATCTGCAGCAGGAGACACTTTGCTGGCGATTAAAGAGCTTCTCCTTCAAGTCCTCAAATTGTACGCATACATGTCCCAATTGTGGTTGCACAACGGCCATAGTTTTGGGATGCCTATCCATCGTTGTGGAACGCGAGCGAAAGGAGTTTCTCTCTGCAATCAGAGAAGATTGGACCAGCATCGAGCCCATGATGTGGCAACCAAGTTCTGCACAGACGCATTTCCTCTGCCATGTTTACGTTCATCAGGCTAAAGTTCGTCCTGGGGGTGAAAAGAAGAACGTCTGTGATTCCCATCTGCGGATCCTGTTTGCCGGGCAGGCATGTGAAACGTATACATCTCCTGGAACCCTCTCGCCCATTTGGAATGCTGTGATCACCTTTAATTTTGTGTCTTTCCCTGGAAGTGTTAATCTATATTTAAAGAATCCTCCCCTTCTCTCATTGGAGTTCTACAACACAGAACGAAGTCTACCAGATGATCTTGTGGGCATGGGCAGTGTGGCAGTGAGTGTGATCAGCGAAGATCTGGCCACCGACTCCAGTTGGGACGAGGCAGGTGGACTAGGCTGGTCCAAGAATCTCACTCAAAAGTTGCAAAGGTTGAAGCACTTAACTCCACCTCCTTTAAAATGGGTTCCAGTGGCCAGAAAGGGTTATGTTCAAGCAGAGGTTTTAATGTCGGCGGAACTGATTGAGATCTCCATGGATCCCAGTAGTCAGGATATAAAGAAGGACCCAATACTTGCCACGGGAATTCCAGTGGCCATCAGGCCCAATATGCAGAACTTTGTGTAAGTTTGGGATATATTACTTTTTAACAGCCTACTTAATTTATGTTATAGCCTTGAGGTTTTCTTCGTGGGCCTGCGCAACTACTCCAAAAGCAGCATGAGTTCTGCGGGTAAGCGGAAGATTAAGGTGATGATGGGTGACTTGGTTTTGTCCAGTGGACCCTCCACTGCGCGGATCCGCAATTGCATTAACTTTCTGGTGGCCTATGCATCGGGTGTGGTTGTAAGTTAACACTGCAGGACATAGTCTCATTCTCATTATCTTTCCGCCACTAGAGCCTACCTGATCAGCAGGATTACTGGCCAGCGATCATAGCCACTGATGTACTGCTTTCCGGTTTCAGCAGTGAATCCATTTTGGGAGCTGCTCTTATACCTAATTCCTCGAGCTTCCTGCAACGCGATAGGACCCTAAAGTGTGTGCCCAAAAAGGAGCAGTCTTCCCGAGATGATTCCACAACGGTGAGTGTGGATGAGGACGATGAGGATACCGAACTGGAGTGGGAAGAGGAAGTGGCCAAACCCACCAGGATCAACAGCTGGTGGATGCGATTCGTATTCGCTCTGGGACTGCGACCCGCGGCCTATGCCAATCGCCAGGCTTTGCGGTACAATGGTGACCTCGATGACTCCGATGCGGTCGAAGAACGTGAGTTCACCTGGTGGACCAAGTTCTACAACTCAATGTACTGGAGTGCGGCGGAGATGAGCCACGAGCACAAGCATCGCCTGGTCATCTACCACGAAGAACTGGAAAAACAGGCCCAATTTGGTTACCTTCAGGATTGGGCTGTGCCTGTCCAATTGGTTCATGGGGTAAAGTTTAAAAAACAGGCTCCTCCCAAAGAGGATGTCTATGCCACCCTGAAGCTGCAACTCAAGTTGACCCCTTGTCAGTGCCCAGAACTCGAGGATTTTGGAGGTGGTGGCGACATGGTTCGACCCATGGCAAATCCAATACATCCCCGATATCAGTCCACCCTCCAGTCATTAAGTGAGATTATAAAACTAACAGTACGAGTTTATATAGTGCAGGGTGTCCAGATCCGTCCTCGAGATCTGAAGGGCGACTCCGATTGCTATGTAAAGCTCTTCTTGGGCGACAAGACGGTGTCGGATCGGGCCCACTTTGCACCCAACCATAGTAACCCGGTTTTCGGACGCCTATTTGAATTGGAGGCTACGCTACCAGGAGATCATATGCTGCAGATTATAGTGTATGATCATGATAAGATCAAGGACGAAGTGATCGGGCAGACAAACATCGATCTGGAGGATCGCTGGAGGACAAGACATCGAGCCACAGTGGGTTTGGCCAACGAGTATACACGAAGCGGCTATAACCACTGGCATGACCTGAAGTTACCCTCGGAAATCCTAATAGATCTCTGCCAAAGAAGAGGTATTCAGCCTCCCTTCTATTATGGCAATGTGATTGAAGTAGACGGAGTGCTTTTCGGTGATGAGACTGTCATTTCGAAGGGTAAGTTACTCCTGACCTTATTAACAGAGATGAGTCCGTTCTTAATTTCAGACGAGGTGTTCTTTCTTAATTTCAGATGAGGAGCTCCAAGAACGACTTAGTCTAGCCGTGCTTAAGAATATGGAAAAATTGCCTTCCTTCGGCTACAAACTGGTTCCCGAGCATGTGGAGACCCGCTCTCTTTGTCGAGATGATTTTCCGAACGTCGAACAGGTAAATTACGGCACGAAGTTTATTAAAAAGGAGTTCAAAGTTCAGTCAATTATCTGTCTAGACTAACTCAATATAATTAGTCATCAATCATCGTTCAAAATATCTAAAAATAGAAAATTACCATAAAGGCTAAAATTAGTTGTGATAAAAAAGGTCTAGCCAGCCATTATCAAAGTTGGCCACCTAATGTATGTATGATAAATAAACATGTTTTCGGTTTTATCAAGTATAATCAATTAAGATTAATAATAAGCTTACTAATTTCAAAACAGAACTGATGAACAATTGCTTAAAGTCTAATAATGATTTACCTGATATGCTAATGGCTTACTGCTTAAATGTAACCCATTCTACAGGGTAAACTCCAGATGTGGATCGAGCTGTTTGAGGCGAACATCTATGTGCCCAATCCTATCGACATAACCCCGGTGCCGCCTGCGGAATTCGAGGTGCGTGTTGTGGTCAAGAATCTGAGTGGAATCCAGGCGGGCGACAAAAACATTTTCGGCAAACTAATGAGCGACATTTACGTGATAGGGTAAGTGGGTCGTGGGTGGTGGGTGGTTGGGGGAGGCTTATTACCAGTGGTTTACAAGCGGATCCGCGTAAACGATATGCAATTACCAACGTTTTTCTCGATATTTTGCAGATGGTGCGAGGATGAGGACAAGCGCCAATCGACCGATATCCATTACCGCTCATTTGCTGGCGATGCGGCATTTAATTGGCGCTTGGTCTTCGGCATGAAGTATTCCCCCAACGAGGACCTGGTAAGCCTTGACCCTCCTAATTGGTCGTGGTAAACAATACACCAGCTTCAAGCAACTTATTAATTATTCATCTGGCTCCCGTTTCCTTTTGCTTTAATTATATTTTACAGATGGTTATTCGGCGAAAGTCTGGGCTGCTGGAGGAGATTGAGTTCAAGAAGCCCCCGGTTATCTATCTGCAGGTTTGGGACAAGGATGTCCTGTCCAAGGACGAATACCTGGCCGCCCTCGATCTGAACCTCTCCAATATGCCCGCACCTTATCCGAATGTCCATCTTTGTAAGCCGTATCCCAAAAAGAGGAAACGCATCAATCTATTCAAGCGCAAGGTCATAACCGGTTGGTTTCCGCTGCAAAGTAATGCACATCCTTCGCAAACCTCCCAAGCTAAAGTTAACAATGTAAGTGGTGATGGGTTTACCAGTGCATTGTTATTTTTGACCTCCGTTTTCAGGGAAAAATGCAGCTAAATATTGAAATCTGCTCTGATGTGGAGGCCGCCAACAGACCGGCGGGTCGAGGACAGGACCCACCGATGGCCTTGGAGCCTCCCTAGTAAGCCATCTTTCCTCAATAAAAATAAATTGATACTTTAGTTCGTCCAGAAAATAGTAATCATATTTTTGGAGCGTTCCATTTAATTCTATTTAATTTAACCTTTAGCAGGCCGGACACCTCCTTTAACCCACTGGCGCATCCTTGCAAGTCCTTTCGGCTCATCCTTTGGCCCGTCATCAGGAAATATGTCCTGTGGACTTTACTTATATTGATCGTTATCCTGGGACTGGTACTCTTCTTTTCTAATTTGCCCGGCAAGCTCATGGCAATTCCACTTGAGTGAGGAGTTTTTGTTTATGTTTTGTTTGTTTCTATATTTATGTTGTTCGCTTAATTGAATTTCCTTTTCATTTTTATGGTATTTCAATAAATTGGCTTGTTGTTTATTCTTCTTGCTACTCCGTCACTAAAAAAGTAATTAATTGAAATGACTAATAGCCGGGGGAAATGGCGATAATAGCGACTAAGTTTTAACCCCTCAGAAACAGGTTAGCCTTTATTACGACGATGGTGTGTTATTGGAGTTCTTACATATATAAGGAATTAAGGATTTCAGGAGATTAGAAAAGTGTGTATAAAGTTCTTATGTATATTTTTGATTGTTCTAGTACCTTTATCAAACTTTTAAAATAATGTTTTATTTTACAATAATATTTACAGATACCATAATCGTTTTTAGGCGTTCATAAAATCAGACAAATAAGATTAAATGCATTTTCCATATTACCATTCTTCTTTATCATTCTTTAGTATATTTTTCTTGATTTAATTTTTCTAAAGATATAATTTTCTTTTTCCAGTTCTATTTAAATCTGGATGCTATTAGTTCTCAATTAATATCTGCTATCTGCGTCCGACTTGATTGACCAGCTTTTTCCGTCTTTAACTTCAGTTAGAAGCCCTTTAAATCATCCAGAACTATCCTAGAGCTATTGGACTATTTCACCATGTGGGTGTCAAAATGGCAATTCGCTATTTGTTGAACGTTCATGTGTGCATATGGTATCTGTATCGGTTCGATTTGGTCGGGGTGCTAATGTGTTAATGGCGACAGTCGCGACGAAAGGAGACGAGAGTGACGAAAGGCTGTTAGAACGCTTATCAGGACCGCCCCGAACTGGTCTAAACCGTTCTGACCGGAAAACTTACAGGGCCCAAAGGCTGCCACGTTCAGTTGGTGTCCAGCTATCGGAGCTGACGGTTCGCAAATCTCCCAGCGGGAAACTCTCCCAGGAATAACTAGTCCCTTGCAGTCAGCAGCCAACTATTTCCCGTCAAAGGTGCTAATTTATTTTTATACCCTTGCAGAGGGTATTATAATTTTGGTCAGAAGTTTGTAACGCAGTGAAGGAGACGTTTCCGACCCCATAAAGTATATATATTCTTGATCAGGATCAATAGGGGAGTCGATATAGCCATGTCCGTCTGTCCGTCTGTCCGTCTGTCCGTCTGTTTCAATACCGTTTGTGAGCTCAGTTTAAAAGCTAGCGATCTGAAACTTTCACACGCGTCCTAAAACATATGTACGCAGATCAAGTTTGAAAATCGCCCCGATCGGACGTCTATATCCTATAGCTCCCATAGGAACAATCGGATATATCTAGCAAAAATTGATGATATTTCGCGCAGTGTAAAAGCTATTGACATGAATTTTTCCAAATCGTATTTTTTTATGCATACCTTGATCAGGGTAAAAGCGCGTGGCAATCGGACGTCTATATCCTATAGCTCCCATAGGAAAAATAGGGTAAAATCGGTCCAAATTTTATGTTTTTCAGAATATTTCGCGCTGTGTAAAAGCTATTGCTATACATTTTTTCAAATCGTATTTTTTTATACATTCCTTCATCAAGGTGAAAGCGCGTGCTGATCGGACGTCTATATCCTATAGCTCCCATAGGAACAATCGGATATAACTTTCAAGAATGGAAAATATTTTGTGCAGTGTAAAAGCTATTAACATAAATCTTTCCAAATCTTATTTTTTTATGCATACCTTGATCAGGGTAAAAGCGCTTGGCGATCGGACGTCTATATCCTATAGCTCCCATAGGAACAATAGGGTGAAATCGGTTAAAATTTAATGATTTTTAGGATATTTCGCACAGTATATAAGCAATTGACATGAATCTTTCCAAATCGTATTTTTTTATGCATACCTTGATTATGATAAAAGCACGTGACGATCGGACGTCTATATCCTACAGCTCCCATAGGAACAACAGGGTGAAATAGGTCCAAATTTGATGATTTTCTGAATTTTTCGCGTAGTGTGTAAGCTACTGACATAAATTTTTCCAAGTCTTATTTATTTACGCATATCTTGATTAGGGTAAAAGCGCTTGCCGATCGGACATCTATTTCTTATAGCTTCCGTAGGAAAAATAGTTAAAGGCTGCGAAAGTATCCCTATTTTTCTATTTTTATATGACATTTTTGCAGTATAAAAGCAATTGACATTAAACGATGAAAATCTAGTTTATTTATGTATACCTTATTCCTTTGGCTACTTTTTCAGTTTTAGCAATTTCGGCAAAGTCTGCAAGGGTATTAAAACTTCGGCTTGCCGAAGTTAGCTTCCGTCCTCGTTATAATTAAAGTGCCTGCCGTCCATCATGAATGTGAAAGTTTGAACTTTACTTGGCTATAATTTCTTTAGTTCATCCCTTTTGGCGTCGCAGGAATCGGCGAGTCCTTGCTCGCGTTTTTGTAGTGCTTCCTCCACGTCGCAGGAACGGATCGGCAGTGAAACATATGGCAAGCAGCCTTAAATGCGGTTAAACTCAGTGCGAAAATACCCGGACAATTCCTGCTGTTGCCGCAGTTGTGCCTGCTCCGTGTGCTCCGCTCTAGTCTTGGTGGAAATCAAAATCAAGTTTAAGTTCTTTAAATTCAAAGTCGATTGAAGATGTAAGTTATTCCCTTCCGCTGCCCCCCGTGGAATATTTCAAACGCTGATCGAGTGAGAACATCTGCGGAACATCAAGTATTTCGAGGAAAATTAAGGTGAGATTTTGTTTTTTATTTTATAGATCGCTTCGTTTTAAAATTATTTTAAAAGATAAATTAATTCTAAAGAGCAAAGAGATTTATTCTCTCTTAATTATTTTGAAACTGATACTATCTAATGGTTTCTTTGTTAGCTAAAAACTTGAACAATTCTTTAGAAACCTGTATAAAAGTGCCAAAAAAAAGAGAGTATTTTACAGAAAACCGTATAGCCTGACCCAAAGTAACCCCTTAAAATGGCTTCTTAATTAAGGAATGTATGTACCCGACTGACGGCCGATGTTTGTCCTAATATTTGCCGACCATCACCACTTAGACTAATCGAGTGCCTGAATTTCGTCAACTCATCCACCTAGCCGTGGAAATAATCAGAGCATTGTCTATCCTAAAGGGGCAGTGACTTCAATTTCATTAGTGCGAAATCGAGGCCTCAAATCGTCCGATGGATATCGCTGTAATGTAATTAGGAGTTACTAATTCAACTAGAAATTTCCGCGCACTTCGACAAGGCTTGCAGTTCGAATCCTTAGTTCGGCGAAAACGGTACAAAATGAGGCTGGAGGAAGTGGAGTAAGTCGGGATTTAGTGGGGCTTGGCATTATGCAAATTGCTTGAAAGTGAGTGGCGAAAATAAACAAGCCATTAATTAGACACTTTCAGTTAATGGGCTGGCGGAACGGCGTCCCGGGCTTGATTCCCTCGGGCAGAAGTTATAAAAGGGAGAATGACAAACGGCCATTGACCAGCTAGCCATTGTATACATTATATGTACATATACATATACGCACAGTGCGTATAAATGGGCCAGGGGTTATACCTCTCAGTTAGCCCTAGTTGCAGTCACTGTTTCGTTCTGGTCCGACACGGTCCTCTCCGTTAATCGTCCTCGGGCTTATCACTATTATCTGGCGATATCATGTGACAGGCGGGTTATCTAAATTGGTTTGCTGTCGGTTTACGCGTACACAAACCGTTTAGGCAAATCAATATCTAATTAGCCCACTGATTGTGCCGAACGGGTCGAATGATGTGTGACAAATTGCGAAATACCGCCGAGGTACTAACCAACATGTACAGTCGCGATCAGCGGCCCTTTACGATTACAGCAGCAGCCACGGACCGGCAGTCGAGCGGTACCGCGATGCCCAAGCTCTACAACGGCGTCTACAGCGGCCAGTGCGGCGCCCTCTCGCCCCCCGACCTCATGGAGGCCCAGCCCAAGCTGCTGCCCAAGCCGCGCAGCAACAGCAGTGGCAGCACCGGGCGCAACAGCAAGGTGAGTGTCCAAAATTTTCAATTTTTCATACAAATATAAACGGAGTAGGATAACTAATAGTATTTTAAATAAATATCGTACCTAGACAGTAACACTTATCCGTTCAAATAGGGTTACTTTAAGTACCAACTTCTTGAATAACTGTTTAAGTATTAATTTGAAGAAAATTTTTACATTAACAATAGTTATTAACTCAATAATTGGAAAAAATGGTTTGATACATTTTGGTTTAATATATAGTAAACTACATATATAGTATTTGAAAAGGTATGTATACGCCAGGACTAATTTAAACCACAGCTTAAGCTATTTTTAAAATATGTTAAAAGCAATAGTTTTAAAAATTCAAGTGCCAACTTATATTTTCTTAGTATTTTATAAAAAACAAAGTACATAAATATGTTTTTCTGTTTTTAAACACCAAAAATATTCATAAAGGCACATTTCTTTAAGATTTTTGTGACTATAAATAACAATTTTAAGCTTCTTTGAAAAAAACTCTTTCAGAATTTTCTAATTGGTTAAGTGCCAACTTATATTTTTTTAGTAATTTGTAAAAAAACAAAGTACCTAAATAAATTTCCTGTTTTTAGACACCACAAATATTTAAAAAGGCATATTTCTTTAAGATTTTTGGGACTGTAAATAACAATTCAAAGCTTCTTAAAAAAACTCTTCCAGAATTTTCTAATTGGTTAAGTAAACAGTATTGCATTCAACGGATTTCTCACAAAATCGTATAAAAAAGTGTACCCACCATTTTATAATTTTATACAAAACTAATGTTTTTTATAAAGTGAAGATTAATGACACTATTGACATCTTTTCGCAGTATTGGATATTCTCGATGATAATCGAGCGCAGCGCTGGTCCCAAGCGCCTGGAAATCGATGGCGATGATGCGGACACGCCGCTGGAGGCCATCCTGCCAGCCGAACCGCCGGCGGAGGTCTGCCTTTTGCGTGACAGCCCCTTCAGGATTTTGCGGGTGAGTTGAT